TCCATTAAATCTTTAGTTAGTCAGTTTGAGGTATGGGCGGGGGTGGGGTGAAATCAAGAGGTTAAACGGTATTAAAACAAGTAACAAATACATGTTAGTAACAAGATAACTAAGTCTTAAAAGAAAGCAAGTGAAAACTAACTAATTACGGAATTCGAGATAAGTTGAATGTTAGGCATTGGCAACAAGTTATTACATAATTAAGAAATTTGTAAAATAGCAGTGATGACTAAGAAGAAGAATAGGATGACTCAGAAGAGTTACGTAAAAGACAAACAACTTAATAATAATACATATTATATAGTTTTTAAAAACGATGTTTTCCCCTCCCCTTGTAACTATCCTTTGACTTTGTTAATTTTTACAATTCTAGCTAATTCCATTAACTTGTTTGTATTTTACGTAACTCTCTGAGTCACCCTATTCTTCCTAGTCATCATTGCTATTTTACAAATTTCTTGATTATGTAATAACTTGTTGCCAACGCCTAACATTCAACTTATCTCGAATTCCGTAACTGATTAATTTATACCCCTGCATTAAATCTTTAACTGTTGGTATGAGCCATACAGGGACGTGTAGACTACCTGGCTAAGGTCCTCCAAACGCTAAGAACCGACAACTAGAGACTTTTGACAACCTGGCTAAAAGTCATTCTCAGTGGTACAGATGCATTCAGTCGCAGATCCATTAGATTCTCTATGTAATCATTAATTATCCCTTTTACTATAGATTCTTCACACTTCTCTCTCTAACTCTGTGTGCAATTTTATGAACTGTAGCAAGTTAAACTGTCGCAATTTTGTGAAAAATTCTGCGTTGGAAATCCAGTTCCATTTTACTCGACAATCGCCTGCAACTCGTGCAGAAATACTACCACTATCAACAGCAGGGACAGAATTACCAGTAAACACTAATCCTCCAACGAAAGCAAAAATATTGAATGCAACTAAGCTACTGAAGGCCAAAAGGGCAACAAGACTGAATGGAATTCCTCCTGAAGCACAAAAAGGAGCTTCAAGACCGTCGTAGATATGTCCACGACGCTGTTACAAAAATGTTTTTTTTTTTGATTTACAGCTTGATTCCACACTGTATTTTTGGTACAAGTATGGAATTTTCAGCATGGATATCGGTAGCCCAAATTTTGCAGGCCGACCATAGATATCAGGTATGCGCCGGCGTGGGCTCGAACCCCGGACCTGAAGCGGGTGGTTTGAATTTTTGGTCACTCGTCAAGTAGTTGGGAAATATGGATTTCCAGCATCGTGTAGGGGGAAAAACTGGCTCTGGTGGTGTGGCATCAGAGGCTGAGGCAAATCGTGACCGTAGAGAGCGGTTGCGGCAACTTGCTCTTGAAACGATCGATCTTAATAAAGACCCATATTTTATGAAGAATCACTTGAGGACTTATGAATGCAAATTGTGTCTAACTCTACATAATAATGAAGGAAGTTATCTCGCGCATACTCAAGGTAAGAAGCATCAGTATAATTTACAAAGGCGTGCTGTCGAACAGGCTCGTGAGGCTCCATCTACTATGCAACCAGAACGTGTTAAAGTAGAACCAAAAAAATTTATCAAGATTGGTCGTCCTGGTTACAAAGTAACTAAACAAAAAGATCCAGACACTAATCAACAGTCAATGTTGTTTCAAATTGATTATCCAGAAATAGCTGATGCTTCCGGTGTTATACCTCGGCATCGTTTTATGTCTGCAAGGAACAGCGTGGGCCCGAGCGTAGCAAGAGGTACCTACTGACTGGAAGGAAGGTTACCCTGTGAATGGAGTCTTAGGAGTTTGCAGAAACTTGCACGAAATAGTCTTCTTGTCCGCGACGAATAAAATATTAAATTGCGTTATCCTGTAGGGACTAAGGGATGTACCGTATGCAGGACTCCAACTAAAACAATCTGGAATTAGGAAAAGTAAATCGTGTGAGGGTTAAACCGCAGCTGTACGCATCATCAAACAGACCTTAACTTCATCGACTTTGAGAAGGCATTTGACAACATAGACGACGAAATAGTTTGGAAACTAATCCGACATTATGGAGTGTAGCGCTGCAAATCTTTATCAACCACATTCAACAGCGATATCATAATGGCACGAGTCAGGTGATCCACAACGGAAAACTCGGGGAGAAGGCTTTGAATTGAATACAGGAGTAAGACTAGGCTGACTTCTACTATTATCGATGATAACCCTAATTGTAGTGGACTGGATCATCATAAGTAAGGCATTGCGCGGGAAGCTAGAAGATAGGGACAAGTTGAAACAATAAGAAGACTCTAGAAGATATGGATTTCACGAGTGGATGATTTATTTCTAATGTCACACAAACCGGATGACTAACAACCAAAAAAACAAAACGTTGGCATTATAGGCCTAGCAGCAAAGATAAAGACTTCCAGTGAACATTGAGAAGACGGAGGTGATGAAGATAACCAAACAACAACAACAACAACAAGAAGCACCGATCATTGTCAATGGAGAAAATTTGAAAGACATCTCACATCATTAGGAACCATCGTTTTAATTGCAGGCGACAGTACGGATGAGAATGTCAAAACACCACAATCGGAAAGGCAAGACAAACATTCACCATTCTGAAATCAGTCTGGAAATGTACTCCATTCAGCATCAACAATAAAATTCGGATTTCCAAGACCAATGTTAAATCAGTCAGTTCTTCCTTGATATGGGGTTAGCAACTTGGCGAGCTTTTCCAATTCAACTGGATTTCTCAGTGGTCGAAAAGATCGCCTACGGTGTACATTTACTCTAATTTTGATTTCTCGCGATATCTGTCCAATGTATGTCACTTCACATCTGAAGGATTTTATTTTATAGGCACAATTAGATAGAGAATCTTTAGGGATTTCTTCTTTTAAATGGACAAGGTTGTCTCGCAGTTTGTGGGTCTGATGTTTTGAAGAAAACTCTAATGTCGAGCTGATTGAGTATTCTTCTGATATCGTCTGACGTCTCCGCTCTATATGGAATGACAACTGTTGAGGTTCATGTTTTTGGAATACGTTTTCAACCATACTTAATGTCAGTGTTGATTTTGTTGATGAAGTTCTTTAGGTAGTTGTTTTACTTGAGGAGAGTTTCAGTAATGTTTGATATGTCTTCTTCTTTTTCTTTCTCATCCGTTATCTAAGATTGTGATCGTCTAAGAAGATATGAAACAACTGAAATCTTTGAACTGATGGGGTGTGATGATTTAAAGTCTAAATATTTATTAGAGTGGGTTTTCTTCCTGAATATGGATATACCAAAATGTCCATTTTCCCTCCTCCTAACTAGGCAGTTTAGAAATGGCAGTTCATCGACGCCTGATTCTGCTTCCGAAGTAAAGTGGATTCTGGGAGATACACAGTTTATTTTCTCCAGGAATGAACTGTGTAGATCTCGTTTAAGTACTACAAAAGTATCATCCACATATCTTAACTATATTTTAGGAGTGAGTATGTGGTGAGAGCAGGCGGCTAGCCAATTGATACACATTAATTTACGTCAGTGTCTAGGTCACTAATATTGGCTGTGAGAAAATATGAACAAGGCTGATTCAACAACCAATCCCAGCAGACTTAACGTGGGCAAATACGGTTCGCAGATATATGGCGTAACTTTCCGAGAAACCAGAAACAACCAATCAGAAGAATGTGTTTGTCTGCTTGAATAAGCTATAATAATGTACATGAAATATATATAAATACGTGCTGATTTCCGTAATAAAACGATCCGTTGCCTGCCCTTGTCTTCTGTTGTTACAAGTATACTTGGAAAGATGTTATCTTTGAATATACTCATGATTAGGTCAGCGACTATTGGGGAGACTGGTGAACCCATAGCAACACTATTTGTCTGTCGATATAAACTCCCTTTAAATGTAAAATAATTACTTCCTAGACAGAATTTCAAACTCTTAATTATTTCACTGGTGTCCAGTAGACATCTTTGTGATAGTGTTGTATCTGATTCTAGTAAACTTAAAATGATATCAAGACTTTCGGTAATAGGGATACTAGTATATAATGAGTTAATATCATCAGAGCTTACCATCATGTCTTCTTTATCAATTTCTTGGTGTTCTATTTGAGATTTGAAATCATATGAATTTCTTACAATATTTTGAGTGTCCTTTTGTAGTGTTTGTAGTACCGAGAGTGAGTATTTAGATAGGTTGTACGTCGGTGAGTTGGTGAAATCTACTACTGGTCTTAATGAAACTGTGGGTTTATGTAACTTTAGTTGACCGTAGAATCTTGAACGTAAATAAGATTTTGGTTTTAGTTTAAACTAGAGGGAATTTCCAATTTTGGCTTTTATTTCTTGAAGGAGTCCATTTGTTTTTCACTCATTCATTGGGAAATACAAGAAAACCTTAATTATAATGAATATCACATATACCCAATGCCCAAATTTTTTCAAACTGTTAAAAGTGAACTTGGTTTGGACATATATAACTTCACTCTTATATATCATCACATGAAATAAATTCATAATCAATACTTGAATATCAATGTGATGCTCACTGGCGACTGGCCCTATCCAGGTAGGTAGTTACCTGGGGTTCCAGTGGGAAGTCGTGTGTGTGAGGACAAATACTCGCCAGCGATGACATTCGGTAGTGGTCACGCTATGTCATGAATTGGCAGAAGTTAGAATTCATGGGCTGGTCATTGGATCGGGTCCCAGTGGCTTAGTGGGCTACGAGCTAGCCCACCTTGTAACCAGAAGCTCCTGGGTTCGAACCCTGGTGAGTGCGTACCGCTAAAGAGTCCCAAACTAGGACGAAACAGCTGTCTGGTAGTACTCCCAGTTGGTTTTCCAATGGTTCTCTAACCAATGTCAGCTCATGATGAAATCCTGTAACCAATCAACCAAATCCCTACAAACCAATACTTGAATTCATAATTTGTTGCTTTGTTTAAAAACAAAATCATAAAACACATTGTTTATTTGTTTAAATACATGAAAAAAAGCTTACCCACAGGACGTCCTTGAGCTTTACGTTCACTTTCAGTTTCAATAACTGTCTGATGTTCATTCCAGTGTTTATCACATGCTGCACATAGGAAAGCGGATGAAAAGCCTAAACAACCACATCCTTTAGCATTACATCGATATGGTGTTGGATCAGCTACATGCTCTTCATGTGTATGCTTACATTTACATTTGACGCGATAAGTATTACGATCAAAATCTCTTCTTTTCACTAGCCAATATTCACCAACTTCTTCTGGTCTACTGGGTATAAATTTAAATCCTTTACAGATACAACCAGCCTAATAAGAGACAATAACGATAACAACAAAAAAACAACACAACAATATTCGAAATTGCTTGAAAATATTATTTTCAGTTAAGTTGCATAGATCAATTAGAAGGATATTCATCACTAAAGAGTACTTACTCACTTTTTGTAACTTCTCATAGAAGATACACAGTTAAATGGGGTTTCTGAAAAGTCATGAAAAAATTACCTAATACATATCAAAAATTACTATCAGTGAGCAGAACCAGTTACACATTGTCTCAGCGTGCTAGACAACACATCTTCCAATATGTCTGTCCAGAGAGGAAATCACGCTAGTAAAAATAATTGAAGAAATATTTGATTTTTGATTTTTTTGATTTTTGATTACAACTTGATTCCACACTGTATTTTTGGTACAAGTATGGAATTTTCAGCGTGGATATCGGTAGCCCAAATTTCCCAGGCCGACCATAGATATCAGGTGTGCGCCGGTGTGGGCTCGAACCCCGGACCATGTACATGGTCGGCGAGAGTCCTAACCACTGTGCCACCGACGCTATTATTGCTAACCCGTCTATCTCAACTTCATTGACTTTGAAAAGGCCTTCGATAGCACAGCGTCGACTGAGAAGTGCTTTGGCAACTACTTCGCTACTACCAAGAGGTGCCGCCAACAATTATACATCTTATCCAACAGTTATACAACAATGCTACGTGCCAAGTAATCCACAACGAAAAACCCACGGAATCCTGAGAAGAAGTGAAGACGGAAGTAAGACAAGGCTGACTGGCTGCCTACTATCTCCAATGATTTTCCCGATTGCGGTAAACTGGATAATGCAACAGACAGTGGTCAGTGAGGAGATAGGCATCAAAATGGACCCACACAAAAAACTTAGAGGACCTGGACTTCGCCGATAATACACGTCTGATTCCCCACACACTGGAAGATATGCAACTGAAAAGCAACAATTTGGCGATAGAAGAAGCATCCAAAGAAGATAGGACTTCAGGTGAACATAAACAAAACAGAGGTGATGAAGATTCCTGGCTAACAGCAACAGCAACAACAACAGACAACAATCATCATAAATGGGAGAAAGCTGAAAGAAGCAACCTCCTTCACCTACCTACCTACCTGGGAAGCATCGTTTCAACTACATGCAGAACTGATAAGGATATCAAGACGAGGATCGGAAAAGCAAGGCAAGCTTTCATTACTCTCAAGTCTGTGTGGAGGTCAACAGCACTCAGCATCAAAAATAAGACCCGAATTTTCAACTCCAATGTGAAGTCAGTGCTACTCTCTATACGGTTCAGAGACTTGGCGTGTCACTAAAGCCACTTCGAACAAACTACACCGCTTCATCAACAGCTGTTTTCGCTCAATACTCAAGATCAGATGGCCAGAAAAGATCAGCAATAGTGAGGGATCTCTGGGAATGAACCAACCCAACAGGAACCAATTGTGCAACAACTATGCAGGAAGAAATGGAGTTGGGTTGGCCATACTCTGAAAAAACCATCAGGTGACATCACACGCCAGACCATCTCACTCGAGTGGAACCCAAATGGGAAGCGGCGAGTTGGTCGTTAGTGCGAGGGTATATATATATATATATATGGTGGTCTCTCTTTCTGTTGCTCTCTTAGTCTGTGACCATTTCACCTTGATGAACCTGTCTTCTTTAAAAATGTATATTCTCCTTATATTATATATAATATGAGTGTTTGTTGACAGTCCGTTGCTTGGTGACAGACATCCATATTATATATGTGGTTGTTGACATGTCTGCTATATTTTGCTATGTATATATGGATCGATACTCCATTATAATTAGCCATCCATGTTAAGACTGTCTATTGATTGTTCACACACTTGTCTGTACATTCATATATATTTCGCTCTCACAATCTTGTGTGACTACTTTGGTGTGATACCACTTTTGCATTCTCCTTGTGTTTGGAAAATAGAAGTATCATCGCAAACCCAGTGGTCTTCTGATTTCCGCCTTCTCGCGTCAGGACTATTAGTTTCTCGACCAGTCCATAACAATAAGTTAGCGACGAGTACATAACAATTTGGCGACGGGGAAAACTACTATTAACAACTCAGCAGCAGCAACATAACAGGTAACATGGAGGAGGTCATGTGAAGAGGAGGTGAAAGCATGTGGGCAGACGCAGAGCCAGGTGAAAACGTTGACAGAGAACCTAACGCAATGGAGACGTGCGGCTGAAGCTCTATGTTCCTCTAGGAACTAAAGGAAACATAAAAATATAATAATTATTGTTAACAACATGAATGCTGTTTTAAATTACATTGAATAAATCAATAGCGTCGACAGATTAAATTTCACAGGCATCAGTGAGAGAGAGAGAGATAATATGCATTAATATAACACTAAACTGAGTGAATGTCAGATAAATTAAGAGAAGTAATCCAGATTTCATGAATTTATAGGTTTGACAATAGGCCAGGAGAATAGCAATGGTGTCTGGATCTTCCTTTCTCTCGCACTCAGAGCTCCGTTGATTTTGACTAATTACAATCGACTCTGTTGTTTGGAGTTTTTCATATCTACAGACCTTTGGTAGTTTATTCGATAACCGATAGATGATAGAGAAAGACTGTCTCATGTGGCTAAGCTTTGTGGTCTGTTAAGACAAGGTGACCTAATATAGAACTGTTAATGGTTTTAACAACACCTTCATTTAACCATACTACACTGGTGGGTGTTCACGAGCACGAAAAATTAAGTTCCTACAGCAACGGCAAATATGACTGGAATATATAAACTGTAGAGCACGCTGATCACTTCACTTATTTGGGAAGTTGCATCAGCCAATGCCTGCGGCTGATCGCTGACGAAATCTCACCACGGACACAGAAGGCTGGTTTCGCACATGCCAATTTACGCCGTCTTTGGCGTAGACGTGATATCCGGCTGGCTATCGACCAAAGAGCGGGTGTACTGCTCATCAGTTCGCTCGGTCCACCTTTATGGCTGTGAGACCTGGCCATTGAGAGTCAAAGACATGAAAAGCCTCGCTAGTCATCTTTCTTTCATCATGGATGTATGCGTCCTATCTGCCACGTTAAGTAATATAATAAGGTAAGCATTATTGAGGTTAGGCATCGATCGAGTGCTAGGTAAGAAGAGGAAATTAATAGACGAGGCTGTGAAGTTACATCGATTGAGATGGTTAGCACATGTGTTACGCATGCCTAGCCTAGCCATTGCCTTCCTCGACAACAGGCAATGTTAGCTGACATAGCATTGGTCAGGTTGGAATAAAACTAGCCAGTGGTGGTCAAACCAAAACATGGCCTTATCAGTCAATGAAACCCACAACAGTTAGTTTAAGCCACGTAGGAAGATGCAGACTTCCTGTTTGGGGTCCTCGAGACGATAAACACCAATGAAAGCTGGAGACAATTGGTGATATGACTGAAAATCGTTTTGAATGGTGCAGATGCAAACACTCCTTGTAACTTATAATACCCAATGAAACTATATTGTTCTTGGATATTACTATTCTTTTTGCCTCATATCTCTGTTTAATGTCTCTATTTTGCGTTTATTTTTACTTTCTTCCCTTGCTTTGTGTGCTACATGGAGTGAGTGTGGAGACTTGAACTGCTGAACATCGGTGCAAAGTCCTCTGTTGAAACCAGTCAGTCAGTCAGTCATTGACTACAGATGGAACACGGACGAAGATATCAAATCAAGAATCGGAAAGGCAAGGCAGACCCTCATCACTATGAACTCAGTTTGGAAATCTTTTGCACTCTGCAGCATAAACAATCAAATTCTGATTTTCAATACCAATGTTAAGCCAGTTAGGTATTCCTTCCAATATGGGTGAGAGATTTATAGGGTTACCAAAAGCATTTCCAACAGGACATTGCAAACGTTTATCAACAGCCGCCTCTTTTTGCTGGTTCCATATTGAAGATGAAATGGCTAGACAGGAAGAGTTAGAAACAAGAAACTCTGGTAGCGAATAAACCAACCAAGAACTTATTGATCAACCCACAAATATTTAGAAGAAAATGCAGATGGGATTGGGTATATCCTGAGGAGACCGTCGGATAGCATTGTGCGTAATGTAGGCCATCACTCAAATGGAAGCCAAATGAGAAACGACGAGTTGGGCGTATGTCCGAGGATGACATGGAGGAGATCAAAGATTGTAAGCAATCTTATGGTAAGGACTGCAGAAAACAAAACAAAATGGAGATATGTTATGGAAACCCTATGTTCAACTTTGAACCCAAAGGAAGAATAATGATTGTATTTCACTGTTTCTTTGTTGTAAAGATTCAGTGGTTGATACTGAAGTATACTTCCCCGAGTCATATCGTTGTGTGTTCTCGCCTAAGTAGTGCAGACTGAAGAAATAGGTACAGTGATTACCACGTTTGTCCAGCTTGGTGTCCTTGTTTCAACCTCAATAGTATTACGAAAGAATAAAGTGATGACATCATAACTGTACATTAAGATTATTCTGTGCGTAGACTTTATTAATTTCTTCAAGCTATAAGCAAGTGATGAGAAGTCGATGAAAGCAAATGATGACCTTATCTTATCCTACACAAATGATTGTTCTTGTCTTATTCAAATTCATAAAGGCGAATAAGTAGATGAAGATAGCAACACATGAGTCAGTAAACAGTCCTCTTTTCGTAGATAGTGAGTAAAGTGAGTGAGTACATTCATAAAGGTGTTTAATTGGTGGATGATGACTAACAGTGGAATCCAGGATGCACGTTTCGTCCTATTTGGAACTCGTCAGCTGAATATACCTGCATTTCTCATAGGGATGATTATCACAACATGTTATACTGCATTAATCAGGATTGAAAAAAAATTGATTAAATAAAATCATATCCTTGATAACAAATCACAAGATATCATTTGATTAGAGGCTGTTACAATAAAAATAGTACAATAAATCAAACTTTCAAAATATAAAACATCATAATGAGATGTACTCTTATTTGTCTACACAGGGATCCTTTTTACCTACTATAGAGCTACTTTTTTCTTAAAAGTAAAAGCTATCATCAGGTGATTCACTTCAGTAATCAAACAGAAATAAGAAGGAAAGAAAGAACGAATGAACGAAACTGTTTACTGCATAAAACGAACTCATTTCATCTCATGGAGTCTCTTCACTGTGTACATCCAAAACAATAAAGTTACAAAATTTCTGAATATGCTTCCCTAACACTTACGTAGAGTTATAGATAGGGAGCAAAAGTAACATAACTCCAAAAGACTGATGTAAGCAGACAAATTATTCACAGGTATAAAAGACTAACTATTTATAAGGCGGGCTCATAGACCATTGAGCCCGATCTAATGGCCAACCCATGAATTCTAACTTCTGCCAATTCACGACATAGCGCGATCATTTCCCAATGTCTTCTTTGATGAGTTACTGCCTCATCTTCAGCCTACTGTACCCCACTGATCACGACTTCCCACTATAACCCCAGGTCACTGCCTAAATAAAGCCAGTCGCTAGTGAGCATCAGATTAATTTTCAAGTATTGGTTTTGTAGCGCGAAATGGTCGCGCCATGTCGTGAATTGGCAGAAGTTAAAATTCATGGGCTGGTCATTGAATCGGATCCCAGTGGCTTAACGGTCTACGAGCTCTTTAGCCTTGTAACCGGAACGTCCTAGGTTCGGACCCTGGCAGTGGGTGCGTACTGATGAAGAGTCCCAAACCAGGGCAAAACTGCTGTCCAGTACTCCCAGTCGGTTTTCCAGTGGTTCTCTAACCAACTGATGTCAGCTCATGATGAAACCTTCCATCCAATCAAACAAAATCCCTACAAAACCAATACTTGAAAATAACCACTTATAATTTAATTAAACAAAAGAGAGGGAGAGGGGTACAGTTCAGATTTCGCTTCCAAACAACGATTGACTGCGAAGAGTTTTTTTCAACGAATTTGTTATCAAGATGTCCAATCATATATATATATATATATATATATATATATATGGTTTTTAAGAAATTATATCTAGTGAGGCAATTGAATCATTAATGTAATTACATGAAATAATAATAGTAGTATGAAATACAATTAAAATGTGTGTGTGATTATAGAATAGAATAAAAATAAAAACTTTGAAACGATTAGTTCCTTTTATGAATTTAGACAAAGCAATAAGAAGACGTATTTTTTTTTTAATTGTGATGTCACATCCCACTGTATTCACCGGTTTGAATGTAAGTGTGGCCACACATACACAGGAGGAAGGACTCATCGATCTCTGCAAGTAAGGGCTGACTTCAGAAGAAAACAGAATCCCTAGAACCCACTAACGGTGAGAAGAGGAGACCTAGCTCCTCCATTGCGAAACATATTACAGAGGGGACAGGACATAAAACTGATGTTTTTACGCGTCTTTTCCTAAAGTTTGTGGAAACCCTAGTTAACAATTAGGAAGTTTAAACCACCTTTATGCGTTCATCAAAAACAATTCGTCATCACTATAAACTTTCCTCGGTTAAACTTTGTTTTTATACCAGGGTATATGTACTATTACATTTCTTTTTTAGTTTAATAATCTTCATTGTTATTTTAACCTTCAAAATTTTCTTTTAACTTGACCTAAGCTTACTTTCTCACCTCTTAACTCCTTATTTATTTATTTTCATATATATTCCTATGACAAGTCCGTGTGGTGTGATCAGATTGTTCGAAATGTGTTGCGCAAATAGATTATACGATTCAGACACAATGTTGTGTGAAATTTGATAACATAGAATTTAACGTTGCAAAGCAAAGTAGATTTAAAATGACAAATGGAAGAAGTGAAATAATACCGAAGACAATTCAAAGTGAGAATACTAATAGCAACAACTGACGTAATGAAGGAAGAGTATACAAATTAAATAGACAAAACGAAAAATAGGTAGAGCCAAAATATGATTAGGGATTACCATACTTTAGCATAGAGGGATTAAGACCATGAAAGTTGGAGGGGTTGAAGGAACTTTTTCCGTATCCAGAGATCTGGCTTTTTTGTTTCAATGGTCAACGCTTCAGCAATAGAGATGAGTTGGGTAAGTAGTGATTTGGGCAAATTATTTTTCGCCTTGTAGATGACTTTAAAGCCTGAGGCTATAGAGGTGGGTTGATTAATTTAGTATCGACCAGATGTACCCTTCTTTTTAAAGCTCCAGTTTCACCTCTTCTTAAGCATGTTGGATAGCGTTCTTGCACCCTGTTGGACAAAATCCGAGTCTAATGAATGGTATTCCTAGCTCCATACGAGCAGGTGAATTCATAAACGCACACAGAGTTCATCAACTGCGGTATCTTATCCTTCAGGTTATTGGACAATAATGGTCGACCAGAAAACGCTATTCTCAACGATACAGCAGAGAATGTCCTTTTCAAGAACTGTGAGATCTTTCTTTTACTGATGATATAAAAAGCTAAATCGCCTTTGCAACGTTAAATTCCATGCTATCGAATTTCACACAATGTTACGTGACATTTTTATTTCTATTCTACTTGTCTATTAACCCTATAATTATACACCCCATTCCAACATCTATACACCTTATGAATTATTCCACATATGACATTAATTGTTTTGCCGCTTCACATGGAACTATGATTATAATCACAAACATTTTACTTACATTTCATACTACTACTATTATTATTTTATGTATTCACACCAAAGATCTAATTGCCCCACTGGATATAATTTCTTAAAAACCATGTATTTATATATACGATTGTACAGCTTGATAATAAGTTCGTTGTTGGAAAGAGTCTCTTCGTTGAATCACTTGTTTCGATATTCTATATGTCCCAATGGGGATTCTCCATGAACAAAATGCAAGGTAGTGAATTCATACATATTATGATAGAGAGTTCAAGAGGGTGGAGGTGAATAGTAAAATAAAATTATACCATAGACAGAACAATTTATTAGATTTGGGAACTTAATCGTAAGAATACCCTTAAAAGTTTCCGTATCAAAAGACAGCAAAAGTGCTCTCAAGTGCAACTGCCAGACACCTAACTGACACGGGATATACAATGGGAATTAGTTCTTTTTTCCTTCACGTTCCCAGTGGAACATAGGGCTTCAAGCCAGTGGCTTGAAGTTTCTGTAGCAGTTTTTATTTTTACAGGACAGTGTTGCTAGCCCCATGTCCAATCTTTCCTCTTTACCAGGATTATTTCTGGCTTAGTGGGGTAGAGGAGTGCGTCAGTGGCCGGAGATCAAACCCCGGACCATGTGCATGTTCGGCGAGCGTCCTAACCGTTGTGCCATCGACGCTATGGGAGTTAGTTACGCCTTTAAAATAATCAATACACAAAGAAAACGATGTTTACTTCGAATGACAGAAGCCATTACTATCAAAAGACTTCAACCCAATCTCTGTATACAGAAAAATAGCCTGATTAATCTCTCACTACATTGGCAACTTAAATGTTTTGTTTGTGTGCTTTTGTGGTTTGTTCTGTTGCATAACACTCCATTTAATTTTGATTTCGATTTCCACTTACTGAGCTGAACTCACTGTTAAGTTTCCAAATCTACTAAATTGTTTTGTTTATGTCATAAGTTTACTTTACTAATCGCTTCTACCCTTCTGAACTCTCTATCATAATATATATGATACGTGTGTATATTGTCTACAGTCAACCCTTGTTTCGAAGAGAAATCTGAACTGTACACCCCTGCCGTCTCTCGTCTTATTATACTCATAAACAGACTTCTAAAACTAAATAATTCGTCCACTTACATCATTCTTTTGGAATTATCTTACTTATATCTTCTATCTATAACTCGACATCAGTGTGAAGGAGGTATATTCACAAATTTTGTAACGTATAATTTAATTTTCACGAGTTGATCCCGTATTGATATCAGTTAGAGAACCATTGAAAACCAGCCAGGGAGTACTAGACAGCCAACTGTTTCATCCTAGTTTGGGAATCATCAGAAGTAGGCACCCACTGCCAGGATTCCAACCCAGGAGCTCCCGGTTACAAGGCAAGCTCGTATACCATTCAGCCACTGGGACCCGATTCAATGGCCGCCAGCCCACGAATTCTAACTTTGACCAATTCGTGATTTAGCGCGACTAGCACCAACTAATTTCATTGGTGGGACATCCATCCTCACACTTGACGTCTGGATGGACCTCACTGGTCACGACTTTTCACTAGAACTACAGGAAACTCCGTCCTGTAGAAAGTCACCAGCGAACATCAGATTAATTTCCTATAGTTAAGTTTGTAAGGATTAGTAAATGGAAGGTCCTGGGTTCGAACACTAGCTGTGGGTGGGTGTGTACTGCAAATGATTCCCAAGCTAGGATGAAACAGTTGGCTTTCTAGTACTCCAATGCTGGTTTTCAATGGTTCTCTAATTGATATCAATCTGTGATCAATTCATAAAAACAAAACTAATCCTTACAAACCAACTATAGAAAATTATAATTTGATATTGTTAAGGATGTATGCAGTTGAAGAGAATCCCCGGGACGAAACTAGCAAATATGTTCCTTCTTTGTTTATTCAAACTAATCAAGAAAACCGGTTGTATGAAATAATATAATAATAACAATAGTGAGTACTACTACTTCCTATCTCCCTAAACTTTGAAGTAGATGTACTTTTGAATCAATGAAATAGACATGAATAAATAATCAATAAAGGATCAATAAAAAATTATTTTTTTTTCTTCAAAAATTGATTAAACGATGAACAACTCACCTGTTGACATTTTAATGATAATTGTTTCCCAGTGAATGTTTCATGCAGATTTAATAAATGACCACAAAAACATCGTGATGTAGAACAGACACGTTGACAATCTTGTTGATCCCATGGTTTATCAGTCGGTCTATAGGCAATATATGTACCTATATTTATTTGCCCAAAAAATAAATGTGCATACATGAATAGAAAATCATACACATATACTAAAAGGCAAAGAACAGTGTTCATTGGAAAAAACTCATAAAACGAGAAACGACGACAAATACTATGCAGGCAGATCAAAACATCTGATCCAAAGAAAACCCAGAGAAAAAGGTGGCAAATTATCAACTTGAAAGGCAGTAGATTTACGTTATTAGGTATGACTTCACTCTGAAGATATTAAACAATAAATGTTTACATATATGAATAACTTTCAACACTTCAGATTTTCTGTGAAAAGTACTGTCTAAGAGCTACATACTACTGATTGACTGAAATGAGTAGTTGGTTACCACACTCATGCCAACCAGTAGTGGTACTTGCTAACCCGATCGAAGTGACCCAGGCACACCGTAAGACCGTTAAAACAATCAGGTATCACTCAATCTCTACCATTGGTAGCCAGAACCCTAATGTTGTGGGAATCAATCTCTTCATCCAAGATCATAACAGGATGATTCAACTCAAAAGGAAGGCAGAGCGGTCACAATTATCAAATGCTACGCACAGTGCTACAGACAACGCGGAACAAGAGAAGAAGGAAGATTTCTGTAGACAACTACAAACAGTAATGGACAACATCCCTAATAGTGACATCAAAATCCTCATGTGCGACATGAATGCCTGCTGAACTGGGGGCAGACAATACAAGAAGGGAACTCATCATGGGCTGAGAGGCTGTCGCTCGATGAAGTGAATGAGAACGCAAAACTGTTCGCATAACTCCGCGCCCTCAATCCTTTGATGATTGCAGGTAGCATGTACAAGCACAAGGATATAAACAAAGTAATATGGATTTCATCTGATGGACACACCACGAACCAGATAGATTTCATCTCAATGCTGCTCAAGGACGTGGAGACACAGTCTGCTGGATACAAAATCGAGAAGAGGAGCAGATGTGAGTCCGGACCATCATCTAGTTCAAGGAACCTTCAAGGTGAATCCTTCAGACCAACTGGAGACTGGCCGCAATTTAAGTTCAACATTCAGTAAACCGAGGGACAAAGCTATAGGGGATACCTTCATTACACATCGGATCAGAGCAAAGTCGGAGACACTATGTGACATCACCGAGGAGACTTGTGTGGAGGAACAATGGAACAAACCCTCTGAAGGTGATATTCAAGGGAACGAGTACAACTGTTCTAGGAAGGAAGAAGAGACAAGACAAGGAATGGCTCTCAATGGACATCTACCTGGAAGCTAATCGAGGAGAGGAGGATATTGAAAGAGAAGATGGAGATGACTCAGTGCAAAGATGGACAACGGAAGGATAAGTTTTGTTCAATATACGCCGCATTGAATAAAGAAAGAAGTGAAGAAGAGTGCTAGCAAAGACAATTCTGAGATACACTGGCTGGTAGCTAAAGCAGAACAGGCAGGCAGGCCACAGGTAAAAGAGACCTCTGGATATTATATCACACAACCAGGTCTAACGTTATCCAGGAAAAGATCAACCTAGATGATGAAACCAATAAAAGATTTTCAAGGGAAATCGACTGCCAAGAAGGAGAAACAAATAAAATAGTGGGTTGACCACTTTAAAGGACTCTTGAATCGACCATCACTTGTAACTCGCCCAGAAATAACCCCACCACCCAGAGCACCCATGGAACTCCCTGACAGTGGACACCATTCCTCCAACAAAAGCTGAAATACTAAATGCGGTCAAACTATTAAACACCAGCCTGGGAGGTATCAGGACCAGACGAACTCCCCCGAAGCACTGGAGACCGACCCAGACACTGCGCAAACGCCCTCACGCCATTGTTGCAAAAGGTTTGGAAGGAAGGAAAGGTACCTACCGATTGGAAGAAAGGCTGGCTACCTTATCTAGCTGCCAAAGAAAAGCGACTTACGCTTGTCTTTGCAAGAACTGGCGTAGAATAATGCTCTTGTCCACGTCAAGTAAAATACTAAGTCGCATCATCCTGGAGAGAATAAAGGATGCACTGGATACTGAACTCCACCAGCTCACAACAAGCTAGATTCAGCAAAGGCAAATCATGTGCTGACCAAATTGCAATTCTACGCATCGTCATCACAGAACAAAGCATAGAATGGCAGTCAAACCTCCACCTCAACCTCATCGACTTTGAAAAGGCCTGCGACAGACAGCATTGGCCGAGAATTGATTTGAAAACTACTTCAACACTACGGTCTGCAGTGCCCAAGTCATTTTCAGGTGATCCACAACGGATAACCCACTCAGCGAGGTGTTAGAAGTGAATACAGGAGTAAGGCAGGACTACCTATTATCACCGATGATATTCCTAATTGTAGTGGACTGGATTACGTGTCAGACTGTGGGGAGCGAAGAAACAGGAGTACGCCTGGCCACCGATAAGAAGGCTCTACAAGATCTGGATTTCGCATGTGGATGATATATGTCTAATGTCACATAAACTAGAAGACCTAAAGGCGAAAACCAACAAACTGACAGAACCGGCTGGTGGAGAAGACAGGACTTCAGGTGGACATAGAGAAGACGGAGGTGATGAAAATAACCAACCACGCGCCAACCAACATCAATAACAGCAACTAGCACCAATCACCATCAACGGGAGAGATTTAACAGATGTCACTTTCTTCACTTATCCAGGAAGCATCGTTTCAACCACAGTCACTCGGATAGCACGGATGAAGATGTCAAAGCTAATCAGAATCGGAAAGACAAGATACGCCTTTATCAGCCTGAAACCAATTCGGAAATCTTCTGCACTCAATTAGCCAGCATAAAGAAGAAAATTCGGATTTTCAACACTAATGTCAAGTCGGTCCTTCCATATGGGTCAGAAACTAGGCCAGTGTGTAACGAAAAGGATTTCCAACAGCTAGTTGCAGACTTCTATCAACAGCTGCCCACTTCGCTGGCTAGCACCATACTGAAGATCAAATGGCCGACCGGCTGACCAAAAAGAATTAGTAGCAAAATACTCTGGCTGGGGACAAACAAACCAAGAGCCAATTGCTTAACCGACAAATATGTAGGAGAAAATGGAGATGGATCGGGCATAGACTGACTGAGGAGACTGTCGAACGACATCACGTGCCAGGCCCCCGAGTAAAATCCTAGTGGGAAGCGACGAGTAGGTCATCCTAGGGTGACATGGAGGAGATCATGTGACGAAAGGATGAAAGACTGTTGGTAATTGTGGTCCAAGCTTAAGAGGACAGCAGAAGATAGGACAAAGTGGAGGTGTTGTCGAAGCCCTATGTTCCACTAGGAACCCAAAGGAATGATAATATAGTTACTAACGGATAATAATAATAACTAACCTCTACAGGTGTCTATACGACCTACAGAGTAGCAAAGTGAAAGAATATTCTTGGTTTATTTTATATCGAATGAATACTTTGCATACTTTCAACTGTATTTATTAATGACTACTCCTAATTGACATGTAATCTTAAATTAGACATGTAGCGGTAAATAATTCCCTAAAATTATTGACCACAGCAATCATCACTGAACATTGGATACTGACCCTCACTGTTTAAGTCAAATTGTTTAGCTGAAGGCTTAGGGTCAAGCATCCATGCCCTTTTGTACTCCGTCGTGCCACGTTCGTGCACGATCACTAGTCAATTAAGCAAGCATCTCGGTCTACGATTTAGTCCCGAAATATGTCTCGTAATTTGGACGATTAGTTGTGGTCTTTTGCTTTGCCTTTGGTCTACGAGGAACGAATACTATAGAAGTTGTTGGTATTAGATCTTGCGTCAATATACTCCGTACAATCCGCGAACGTTAATACCGTCAGCCTCCAAAGACAAGATATCAACTCAGAGAATAATTTCTTGATACTTCAATACTCTGAATAAGACTCACAATCTCAAAATTAGAAGGACTTAATACTATTGATTTGATCTCTTTCTTTTCAAGGTATCAATGTTTTCGAAATGTTTACATAACACAAAAGTAGAAATCATAAATGCCATCAGAGCTACTGAAGTCACGAAGGCAACAGGACCAGACGGAATTCCCGCAGTGTGGATATGCTCAAGAAAATATTCGAAGAAGTTTAGAAGGACATAAGGATGCCTACTATAATTAAAAGGAAGGCTACTTGTCAAAATACCAAAGAAGGATGACTTAGGCATCATAACATGAACTGGTGCGGGATCATGCTCTTGTCCACGTCAAGTAAAGTACTAAGTCTCGTCATCCTAGAGAGGCTGAAAGACGCACTTGATGCAGAACTCGTTTCAACTACAGGCGACTCCATGGATGAAGATGTTAAAACCAGAATCGAAAAGGCAAGACAGATCCTCATCACTATGAAATAAATTGAGAAATAGGCTACACTCAGTCAGCATAAAATACAAAATTCGCATCTCCAAAACCAATGTTATGTCGGTCACTTCTTCCTCTACCTGGGTCAGAATCTTAGCCAGCACGTCACGGAAAGCATTTCTAACAGACCACTGTAAACTTTTATCGACAGCTACCCCCTTCACTGGCTCCATAGTGAAGATCAGATGCCTAGCCATAAAGCATAGGCAACAAACTATTCCGGGGATGAGCCAATCAATGACCTATTGCTCAACAAATGTGTAAGAGAAAGTGGAGATGGATTAAACACACACTGAGAAGGCCGTCGAATGAAATCGTGAGCGAAGCCATTGCTCGAGTGGAACCCGAATGGGATATGAAGAGCTGGGTATTAGGTGGGGGTTGACATCGAGGACATCGGGTCACGAGGAGATCAGAGACTATGGGCAATCGTGGGACCAGCTAAAGAGGAGTGCAGTTTAAACAGGACAAATTGGAAACACATGCTGTTGAAGCCCTATATTCCACTTGGAACTCAAGGGAACAATAATAACATTAATATATATGCAATGCAAGATACAAGCAGTCGGCAGTAGCACCATAACTGAGGTGCTTTCAATTAAGAGGATTGATTCATAACAAACAAGACAACAAATTAAACAG